AGCGACTATCGAAGATGTGATGAAGCCGAATAATCTCTTTGATGTTTCTCTGCCAGATCTTCAATGGAGATGATATACAGAGACCGATTGCGACAAAGATACATATACAGAGACCGATTGCGACATCAAAAGACGTGAATGCCAAGGAGTCGTCGGCGACGCAATCTAATGGGCCGATAGCAGCAAATGGTGTTCGTAATTTGGTTGGATAGCCAGATTAATTCCCGTTGTTTTCTTGTTCCCAATTTGAAGGTAACCCTAGAATTTTTAGGCTTTTGATTTTGGATTCACTATCCCCCTTAAAGTTCAGTTTTTTTTTTATAGTTTCCTGCAATCAGATTACGAACACCATTTGCTGCTATCAAACCAGATTACGAACACCAGGTTTGTTTATTGGGTCAAAAGACAAGACATATGAATTTGTTCATTGATCTAGTCATCAATGAATAAGTAAAATTGGCTTAAGACGTTAAGCTCGTTTTTTAACTAATACCTTATTCATTTATGAACAGTAAATATCATAGTCTGGCTTATTATATTACATTATTTTTTCACTCATGTCTTATTCATTTATAAATATTGGGTTTTTATGTTGATACAGATACAATAGCTTGATCAGACAAAAATATACACATAGAAAGAATGCTATAGAAAAGGGAAGTCGGGTGACACAAAAGATTAAGGCGGTCTGAGAAAAATCATCACCGGACTACCACGCCTCTGTGACCCATCGTAGATCCACAACGAATCAATCTCTTTAACTGAGGAAGCCAAAGCTGATACCATATTAGAAATTCTTTGTCTCTTAAAAGTGTTTTCTATTCATTTATGACTAAATGTGTATTCATTAGTGATTAAATGTGTATTTAAATGTATTCATAAGATTAAATGTATATTCATTAATGATTGAAGCAATTCATATTTAGATGTTTTCATTTATGGTGATGTTTCTTTAATTATGTTTTATTCATTTATGAATATAAATTAATTCATCTATTCATTCAAGATTATTACCGGCTTCATATATAACTACAAATATATATTTATTCATGCATGATTACTAATATTCAGATAAAATGATTAATGCGTCAGTATTTTTGATGTGGTTGGTAAAAAAACTTAAAGCAAAAAAAAAAATAAGGTTTTTTTTAAAATTATGTTAAAAACGTTTTTAAAATCATTTTATTGATTTTGTTAATTAAAAATAGATTATATAAGTTCCTAATATTTGGGTAAAAATTCTACTAATCATATTAAATCCCATGATTTTAGGAATTAATTAATTACTCATAAATTATCCATAATTAATTATATTGTAAAATTCATTTTATGCCCTTATATGATGATTAGTTCACAACTGTTCTCGCGTTCTCAACCTTTTAGGTGTTCTCATTTGATCATTTCCCTATATATATATATATATATATATATATATATATATATATATATATATATATATATGTGTGTGTGTGTGTGTGTGTGTGTGTGTGTGTGTGTGTGTGTGTGTCCCGTCTCTTGAAAACCGAATTGTAAAAACCGATCCAATCGAATTGTAATTTGATTGGTTCGGATCGGATTTGAATTTAGCTTGGACAATTCGGATTCACGTTTTGAAAACCGAAATCAATTTGGATTCACCTAATTGGATCCGGATCAAACGGATCCATCCAAACGAACACCCCTACCTACTTAGGATGATAATCAATGTTTTAATCAATTTTCAGCATCTTACCTTTCTACTAGCATTTTATTTTTTTAACATCCTACTTTTTTAACGTCATACATGTATAAAAAAACTAATAATAATAATAATTTGTCAAATTTTGCTAACTTGTTTAAAAACTCCTACAAATTGAATTCCTTGAACGGAATGTTTAATTTATGTTTCATTAGTTTTCAAAAGCCATAATTTTTGTTGTTATAAAATTAATAAGAATAAAATATAAAATATTTTATGGATGATATTCATATATTTTATCAAAAGTTAAGAATTTTTATCCTTTCAAATTATTTTTAGCTTTTTACTATGCCTATTTTCATTCAACAGCTAGAATGTTGTTGTTATAAAATTAATAAACATATAAGTATTTTACCAAAGTGGAAGAAAAAAAATAACTCGTCATGTGGCAGAAAAAGTTTATAAAATTGGTTCTTATTGCTAGAAAAATATTACATAATTGGATCCTTTGGTAGAAATATATTACAATAATGGTCCCTTTGGTAGGAAAAATATTAAATATTACAGCAATGGGATTTTTTTTTCTTTCTGCTATTTTTTTGTTAAAAAAAAGGATAATGACTTAAAAGGGTAATATATTTTTCGATTTGTACACATTTGGTCACTGAATTTTTTTTTCGTCCACATTTACCCCTTCAACTTGTTAAACTGTATACATTTAGTCCTTATGACCGGCTACTCCAGGTTACCCGGTAAAAATGACTTAATAGGGTAATATATTTCTCACTTTGTACACATTTAGTCCTTAATATTTTTGTACACATTTAGTCCTTTTTTTTTTGCAAAATAAGTCATTTTTTTGTACTAATTCAGTACTTATGAATGATTTTTTAGTTTTTTCTCACAAAATCTTACGTGGGACATTCATTAATGAGGTGTATGGGGCTTTTGATGCTTATATCCATCGCGATCTCGACTACTTTGTTGCTTAGGTCATGTGTTCTGAACGTCATAACTTCTTCATATGATCTCGGATTTTAACGATCTTTATATCCATGCATTCGTATTTTAGTCTACTACAACTTTCATTTAGATTACTTCCATTAAAAAATAATATATTTTTACTTACGATTTTTATATCCATACGCGGTGACGGATTTAGTATGGTCCCGGTGTTGCACCGACAACACCTGTTTTTTCTGTTCGCAGTGAAAAAATTTTCGCTTTTTTTTTTACGTTTATACCTATTTTCCATGTATCGGCAACACCTACTATGTATTACTGCGTCTTCCCCTGTCTATACGTTTTTTATGAATGCATGTATGTATGTTTTTTTTATAAAATCGTTAGTAAAAATATATTACATTTTAACGGGAGTAATCTTAATGAAAATTGTAGTAGACTCAAAAAATGAACACGTGGATAAAGATCATTAAAATCTGATATCGTATGAAGAAGTTACGATGTTCAAAATACAAGACCTAAGCCAAACCACAAGACTTACGCAACCAAGCAGTCGAGATCGCATTGGACATAAACATCAACAACAACCCCAAGCACCTCATCAATGATTGTCTCACGTAAGATGTCGTGAAAAAAAACCTAAAGAAATCATTTATAAGTACTGAACGAGTACAAAAAAATGACTTATTTTGAAACAAAAAAAAATGTTAAGGACTAAATATGTACAAAAATATTAAGGACTAAATGTGTACAAAATGAAAAATATATTACCCTATCAAGTCATTTTTCCCGGCTAACCTGGAGTAACAGGTCATAAGGACTAAATGTGTACAGTTTAACAAGTTTAAAGGGTAAATGTAGACGAAAAAAACTCAGTGACCAAATGTGTACAAATCGAATAATATGTTACCCTTTTTAAGTCATTATCCCTAAAAAAAGAGCAACTACGTTGGTACGTATAATTAATTACTCGCAATTTTAATCAGTTCCATCCATTACAACATTAATTCCTCAATATTAGACCAAAGAGCTTCTAGCCTAGCGGTATCTGGTGTTGTCTTCCCTTCTTGAGGCTGAGAGTTCAAGTCACGTCGTGGACATAGATGGGTTTAAGGTGTAGTTTAGAAGTAGGTTATATTTTCCGTTTCAAAAAAAAATTCCTCAATATTAGAACAAATTCGAAAAACTCCTTTTTTAGAAAATCACCCAAACGAATTATCAACTCATGATAAAAAAAAATGTAAAACCATATACTACCTCTTAAACCTTTATATTCATTTTATAGTCATTAACTCATAGAATAATCAAATGATTCAGTTCGGTTTTTTTAAAAACAACATTTTATCCACGTAGATATCTATATCAGTACATTTTATTAGTTCGATGTTATTAAAAAAAAAAAAAAAAAAAAAAAAACATGTTTCATCTATTTTAATGAACTTTAGTTACTCATTTTACAATTTCAAATTCCTTTCTTTTTCACCGATTTTGACCTCATTGGTCCTTACGCTAAATTATGGACCAAAATCGAAATTTTGAAATATACACAAGAATAAAAAATGTAACTTACGATTATATTTATTTTGATCAAGGCAATGTGAATGGAATACCTTTTCATTGGCCTCCTCTACGTTCCCATCTCCTAGTTGAAATCAAATATATTTCCAAATTATCTACTTCAATTGTGCAATGATGATTCCGTCCTCTACGTTCCCCTCTTCCCCTTTATTTGGGTTTTGTCCTCAACTCCTCATGCTCTTCTTCAACCTCCAATCCTTATATTTCGGTTTATTCTTCCACACGTTCCCTCAATCTAAGTCAATATGAAAAACTATATAACAGTCATTATGTCACTAAAATTCAATGTTACACTGTTTACTATACCATTTTCATTGCCTCCTATAAAATCAAGAATGAATGATAACTCGGCCAATCAAAACAATCAGCATCAACAATAGCAACCCAAGTTAAATTCTTGAAGCATCTTTAACCCAATAGCAACTTTTGAATTTCGTTGCTATTCTCCTGTTTCTGTGCTATGAACTTTTGTCGGATTTCCATTTTTTCCTTTGACTATAATTGCTCTGCATTTTTGTCGGATTTTCATATTTTCCATAAGTTAAAATTGCTTTGAATTTGAAGTTTACTACTAATATTTGAATTTCAAACTTTGATTAGTTTTTATGCTTTGGTTTGAGACTAGAAAGAAGGGAGTCAAGACCAATGTGCTACAACACCCATGGCAAAAAACCATAAACGGGTGTTCAAATTACTGAACTTTATATTCAATTTACCAAAATTTATATACAAGATAACAAGATAGAGCAAAATTCTTTCAATTAGAAAAAACTTGGTTTGTGCTTCAGCGATTCAACCCTCTCACTTTGCAAAAACTATGTTCATTTTATCTAACTTTCTGCACATAAAGATATAAAAAAAAAACGTAATGTGATATTAGACAAAAAGATAATGCCATTTATTAAATCAAGAAAATGCATCAAAGTATCACACCAAAATTAACCAATACCTGACTATATAAAACTTGGTGATGATGAATAAACCACACAACGATCATTTTGTCCGAAGTCAATGTTTAGTTTTTTCACAACTCCATGTTTCAAATCATAACTACACACACCACAATTCCGAATAGCAGTTTTTGTGCACATCATATATCTCTTACTTATCACGCTAGACATAGGTGTTATAAGAAAATCATCGTATTCTCCAAAAAAGCAATTCGGAACAGTTAACTCCAACTTCTCCCACTTCATCTTCTCAAAATCTTTAAGAATCCACATGTCAGTTTGTTCAAAGGAAAGTTGATGAATAAGAGTGAGAAAACCACCCATTTCAAAAACAGTGTATCTGAAACTAAACTCAGGTATAGGAAGACTCATTCTGAACAGTTTCTCTTTCACCATATCCATGGAAACCAGGTACCCTCCATCACCATGAACATCCCAGTGAATATATCTCGCTTGAACTGAAACTGGGTAACCCCATGAACCCCATCCTTCATCCATACAAGAAGGAATTTCGATCTTTTTCCACTTTGAGGAGAAACGAGAGAGAATGTTTCTTTTCAAGATAAGAATATGACATTGCATTGGTGGACCTATAAACATGTGAAGCACTTTGTATACTCCTTTAAATCCATCAAAAGAAAGGGAAACTCCACATTCGCAAGTGTAGCGTCCTCTACAATATGTGCATGAAGGAAGATATGATCCTTCCTTTGTGATTAGGTTAAAAACGTATTCTTTTCTTTCTTGATTTGTTATCAGAAGAAACTCGTTACACCATGACATTACCCATCCTTTCTTAGGTAAATCCAGGTTTTTCTCTTTTAGTTCTAGCCCTTGTTGTTCTTCTCTTATGTCTACATGTCGCACTGTGGGTTTACCGAATTCTTGGAAGATAAAGGAAGCGTGGTCTAGTAAGATTCCATTGGTGATTACACTGAAAAATCGTCTGCAAACGTGTTTAACCTTATAACGAAGGAAATCATCTGGAAGCCTTTTGAGGATTTCTATAAGGATGTCGTCTGAAAGAAAATCAAAGCAGTTAACTTTCTGTTTCTTTCTTGTCATTTGTTCGTCATCTTCAGCCTGTTTCCTATACGCGTTCGTTGCCAACTCTATCGCCTTATGTTTCAAAATAGGATGTATTACAAACTGTTCATCTTCTTACAGCATGGATTCTGAAACGCAAGGTTAACTGATGTAAACTAGGAGTTATATCGATCATATCTAGAATCTATAATCGATCCATGGGATTAAATTCAATAAAAGAATGGGTGTGTATACATTAATGCTATCGAATTCTCATAAGGACTCGATGCATATACTGCAAGATTAAATACAAAACGAAATTGCATAATTTATGATTCGATCAACAAACATTTGTGTCGAATTGCAAGGTAAGAAAGACAATTTCACATCATGAACTCTCAAGATTAAATAAATAAACGAAAGATGTACATAAGAAGCGATGTTGACGAATGTAGTACCTCGTTTCCATAAGAGAAGAAATCGATCATCATCGGCGTTAGGTTTCCAGTTAGTATTCGGAAGAAAATGAGGATGTTCTAGGGTTCAATCGAGCAGAGCTGGGGTTTATCAAAATCTCATTACACTTTAGAAACAAAATTTGTAATTCGAGTATCGCAACTAACATGCGTCAAGGGCGGGTCGACTTAAAAACCTGAATATGATGAAAAGGCAATATAAATTCAAGCGTGTGGAATTTTACATTTAATACGATGTATTTTTTAAGATCTAGTATTTTTATTTGATAAAGTTGCAAATATGGATTATGTTGTTGTTTTCCTTTGTCCATAGAATTTTAATTTAAAGTTGGGGGTTTTGTCTATTTGCGGATTTGGCCATTATCATAAACGAAATAATTATTCATGAAATAACGTATTATCGTTTATTGTAAACCAAACCTGAATGATGTAAACCAAACTTGAATGATGTAAACGGAAACAAGAAAAACATAATCGAACGATATGGACCAAATCGAAGCCACGATACAACAATCAAAATAGTTAGTCGAAACCTCCTAATGTAACTAGACCTAAACCATACATCGGTGCAAAACTTGAATTTTCATAGCAAATATATTGTAAATAGAGATAACAAAATGGTGTTTGTTGATTCTTGTGTCCATACCCTTCTAGTGTCTTAACTTTTCTATGTACTATATTTGTTCTAAGCCTCGTAATAGATAAACTAACTTTCAGTAGCGCTTCAACGACTTGTACCCAGGGCCGGTCCTAGACAATTTGGGGCCCGGGGCAAAAAAAAATTTGGGGCCCTTATAATTTTTTTTTGTAAAGGAGTGTGGCACCTCCAGAAATATTTATTAATTAAAAAAAATAATACAATTGAAGGCTGGGGACTCCCCACCTATGTAAAGAAAAAACTTCGGGACAGACCCCGGATGCCAAACAACCTACCATCTATTAAATACAAAACGACAAAATAAAAAGGCCAGAGCACGAACCCTAATACATAAACATAACAAAGAAAAACTACATAAATAAGTGATAAAAGGCAACCAGTAAACAGATAACAAGAAACAAACAAATTAACAAATAAATAAAAAGAGTTCTCTTGTACCTCCTGTTGTTGGCTGTCTGTGATGCTAATGTTGTGAGCCTAACAAGAAACAAACAGCTTAACAAATAAAAAAAAAAGAGTTCTTTTGTACCACCTGTTGTTGGCTGCCTTTGATGCTAATGTTGTGAGCTTGTAAATAACTTCTAAGCACTTGCCAAATGCCAACTGAAAAAGCTCCAAGTCACAACAGAAAATTATGAAGTTAAAAAAAAACGGAAATCAGATTAAAATGATGAACATTCTTACATTCAAAAACTGAAATTAAACAAATGAGTAACAAATTAACTCTAAAAAAATCGAGAGGCCACTTACAGTGAGAGTTACACGGATTCATAATCACTCAATCAGAAGGTCATAAACTTGGATTTGGATAAGTTGGATTCTCTGATTCTTACACAACATAAAATTCTGAAGATCAAAAAAGATTCATAAAAGAATAGAATATCATTATATCACAGATTCACAGAAAAATAAGAAATTTCAATTCAAGGCTAGAAAGTATAACTTACAGAAACATAAGAAATTTCACAAATCACAAATTCACAACCAACGATTTCGATTGGAATGCTCAGAGTCTCAGACGCTAATGCGATTTCGTCTGTGACTAGCGATTCTCAGAATTTCAGTGGTCTGGTGCTATTCCAGTCTTTCCAGGAAAAAAAAAATGAAACTTGGAAATCAAAAAATAGAAGGGCAATAATCAGGAACCGTGAAAACTGAAACCAAGAAGCAAATAATCGAATTTTGAATGTCGATTTGAGAATCAGATACCCTAAATCAGAAATCAGAAAAGATGGAGAATCGGAGAAGAAATCAGAGATCGAGATCGATTCAACAGAAATTGAATAAGAAATAGAACAAATTTGAGTTCTGACCGTTGCTTACCTTATCGATTCCGGAGAAAACTTTCTCCGTTTGGATTTTCCATGGAAATTGATCGTTGAAGATTTAATTTGCCTTGGAAGTCGGACATCACTCATCTCTCGCACACCAGTAGCGATCGCTCATTCCTCCCGCTTCCTGTTTGGATTGGCACATTGGGCTTCAATAACCGGTCAAATAAGCTAAAACCTAATGGGCTACTGCTATAAAATTAATATAAGAAATATAAAATGGGGCCCTTTGGCATTTGGGGGCCCGGGGCGGTCGCCCAGCTTGCCCAGGCCCATGGGCCGGCCCTGCTTGTACCATATGCACCTAAAGTTATATCAGGTTGGGTACAAGAACCAGAAAAAACCGGACACGATAAGCTTCCACAAGTCTGGCCACCCATTTCTGCCAAACCAGTTCCAGGTCCACGGTCCATCCATTTCTGCCAAATCGGTTCCAGTATGGTCCAAACGTTCACCCCTTGATTGATGAATCGAGTGGATCCCACCACTCCAGCTCAAAAAGAAGAGAAGACTGGTATTTCAAGAAAAGAATTCCTCGAGCTCAAAAGCTCCATTGATCAAATTCTAACACCCAATGACAAGCACTCAGCCACCGCAGACTCCTGCTCTGGCTAATATAGTTTCTTTTTTTTTAAAGAAAAGTAAAAACTATTTGAGATTGCTCGTTAATAAGCTCATGAGACTTTCTTTATGTGCTTTTTCATTTCCCATGAGACACTTCAACTAAAACCTAGTTTTTCGGTTAGACTACAAATAGTATCTCAAGAAGATGAAAGTGCCTAAGTTGATCATCACTTATCAACACAAGTTACTTATTGTGAAAGTAATGGGCGAGAGTAATATTTTCTTTAACACTTATTAATCATGTAATCCAACTTAAAATTTATTGACATTATCAATCATTTAACAAACAACGAGGGCAACGACACTCAAATCCAAACCCATTGGACAAAATATTTTGTCGAGCATCACGATCCATACTTGCATCAATGTAACATATCCGCAACTCTTCACCTGCCACATCATCAAACAACTTCTTAATAACATAACAGACATCAGACAATCTTATACTGTGTTTGACATGTATTGGACTCTGACCTGCTTCAATGTCTCTCAAAGCTTTCAATCGTGCATCCACATTTTCCACCCAAACTATGTGCGTATTAGGATCTATATCATAGAAAATCAAGAAACTATATCAAATACTAATTTTCATTTTATAATAATTTTGTGTATATCAAGGTCTTACCACAGTCATGATTATAAAAAGATGGAAGAATATAAACAGCATTGCCAACAGCAGCTTCTGATTCTACTGATAAAGCTGCTGATGCAAGTAGATCTTCATAAGAACAGCCTCCAGCTAATTCAATACGAAAAGCATTGATACGAATTCTTGCAAGTACCCCAGAATACCATTCGATAGTTAAAACTGTTGATAATATATAGTCAATTAGTCAAGGTTAATTCAAAACATACAGTTTAAGATAATAAGTTAACTGAAAATCAGCATTTAGATAAAGATTGTGAAGTTACATTTTAGCTGTTTGCTTGTCATGCCTGAAGCTTCTAGTGCACTTGTCAACAAACCAAGCTCCTCTTCCATCTGGGAAATGTTATTAAAAGAATGTGTGAGAAAATATGGTTAATTAGTTGACATTTTATAAAAATAACAAGGCTTTATGTCTTGTTTTATGTACCTGTGAGATCATTTGAGGAGACAAAAGGGCAGGTTGAAGTATGTCTAGAGAATTTACAGAAGCTATTCCGGATATAATCATGCAGGCTAATCGTTTGGCAAGAAATGGGTATTTTAAAGCCCGGATTCTTTAAGAGAGAATAATCAAAATTCAAAGAGAAATCATCATCTGATAAATGAAGATATGAAATTAAAAACAGGCTAAGGCTATCGGAATATGGGAAGATCCTTACCGACAATGAGCAACAAATGCTGACCAATCAGCTTCCTTTTCAACTTCATAGAAGCCCTAAATGAAATAAGCATGAGTGAATGAGAGTTTGTAGGATTGCAATAAGCATTGGTGAATTTGAAAATTAGCAACTACTTTTGACATCGAGAGTGAATGTGCAGTTATTTAGGGGATAATGTGGCAACAAAATGATCGATTAAGGTTTGTATGTTACGATCATGTACCATTTTCTTGACCTCAGTGGAGCATTTCTCTCAGAGACAAAGTCTCAAACAGGTTGTGGGCATGTATATATATATACCTTTGCTTGTTCCCTGCATTCTTCACTGCAAAACAACACTTTCTGCGCCTCAAAATCGGAACCTTTTGGAGTGTTTTTGAGACAAAAGTAACATACTCTGTCAATTGAGGAGAGAGATGGGTGAGAAATCATGGGTCTGGCTGTATGGATGAGTTCGCCGGATTCTATATTCCGCGTAGCAAAAACACCACGGCCAGCTGATTCAGTGAGTAGAACCTGGATCGGTGGCGGTGATGGTTGACTGGGCTTCGAGCCATGGCGGTTGTCGGTGGTGCTGGTGGTGGAGAAGTAGGAGGTCAAAAGTTGCTTGCTTTTTGGAGGACATCGCTGTGCAAAGCGTCT